TCATTCCAGCCTCATTCCAACCAATAATCAACATTCAATATAGATTTGTGTATTCTGGATATTTCACATAAACAGAATCATACAAACACGCGAGCTTTTGTGATTGGCTTCTTTCACTTAACCTGTTTTCAGGGGTCATCTTGTTGTCTCATGTATCACCACCTCATTATTTTTACTGTCAATTAATAATCCTTGTATGAATATCCCACATTGTATTGATGCATTTATCCATTCATGGAAATTTGGATTGTTTGCACTTTAGGGCTAGTATTAATAATGCTGCTGTGAACATTTATGTACAAGCTTTTATGTGGACATATGTTTTCATTTCTTTTAGGTATATACCTAGGATTGGAGTTACTGGTCATATATAATTGCTCTATGTTTACCTTTTAAAGAACTACCAAACTGTTTTCCAAAGTGGTTTCCCCATTTCATATTCCCACCACAGTATATGAGGGCCCCAATTGCTCTACATCTTTAACAACACTTGTTATTACTTGTCTTTTTTATTATAGTTATTGTAGTGGGTGTGGAGTGGTGTCTCATTATGGTTTTGATTTGCATTTGCCTAATGACTAATGGGGTTGAGCAGCTTTTCATGTGCTTATAGGCTATGTGCATACTTGTTTTGGAGAAACTTCTGTTTATATTCTTTGACCATTTTTAATTGACTTAATTTTTTTTTATTGTTAAGTTCTAATGGTTCTTTATATTTTTTGGATACAAATTTCTTATCACATATATGATTTGAAATTAATGACTAATGGGGTTGAGCACCTTTTCATATGCTTATAGGCTATGTGCATATTTGTTTTGGAGAAACTTCTGTTTATATTCTTTGGCCATTTTTAATTGACTTATTTGTTTTCTTATTGTTAAGTTCTAATGGTTCTTTAAATTTTTTGGATACAAATTTCTGATCACATATATGATTTGAAAAGATTTTCTCCCATTTGGTGGTTGCTTATACTTTCTCAAAGGTATTGTTTACAGGACAAAGTTTTTAATTTTAGTGAAATACAGTTGATTTCATTTTTTCTTTTGTTGCTTGTGCTTTTATTGTCCTATCTATGGACCATTGAAGATTTTCTCCCATTTGGTGGTTGCTTATACTTTCTCAAAGGTATCGTTTACAGGACAAAAGTTTTTAATTTTAGTGAAGTACAGTTGATTTCATTTTTTCTTTTGTTTCTTGTGCTTTTATTGTCCTATCTATGGACCATTGCCTAACCCAGGGGTGGGGAATGTCCAGCCCATGGGCTGCATAAGGCCCGCATAATCATTTGGTTTGGCCCTGTCAAGACATTAGGGTGAGCTAATTAAATGTTTGATCAAATCTAGCAGACTAATTTTTAAGTTGATAATTTTGTATGGCTAGGGAATTATGCTGTACATATCCAAGTGGCCCTTGGCAGAAAGAAAGGTTCCCCACTCCTGGCTTAACCCAATGTGATGAAGAGTTACCACCATGTTTTCTCCTAACAGTTTTAGTTTTAGGACATATATTTAGGTCTGTGATATATTTTAAGTTAAGTTTTGTATATGACAAGAGGTAGACAACCAACTTCATTCTTTTGGCTATCCAATTGTGTTAGTACCATTTAGAGACTATTCTTCACTGAATTTTCCTGGCACTTTTATTGAAAATCAGTTATTTGACCATAAACATAATGGTTTATTTCCAGACTCTCAGTTCTATTCCATTGCTCTTTATGTCTACCTTTTAGCCACACAGCATACTTTGTACCACACTGTCATGATTATTTTATCTTTGTAGTAAGTTTAGAAATCAGGAAGTGTGAATCCTACTTCATTCTTTTTTTTTTTTTTCTGTTACCTAATGTACATACTCAGCACCCACTTCATGCACAAAGGCCCGTCCTTGTCCTTCGCACTCAGATGTGCTGAACCACTTTGGGCTGAGGCCCAGGCATCTGTTGTTTACACCCACCAGGGAGCCAGCGAGGCTGCCTACGCCGTGTGGATGCAGAGACATTGCCACTCAAATGTGGTTTGTGAACTACTAGACGCTCTGGGGACTTGTTACAGGCCCATCCCAGTCCAGCTGAGTCAGGATCTGCATTTTAACAAGATCCCAGATGCTTTACATACACCAGAGGTTGGTAACTACAGGCCAAATCTGGCTCCCTCCCTGTTTCTGTAGGCGCACTGTCACCACCTGTGGAGGGGGGCCTCACTGGGCAAGTACTGTGAGCCTCTGAGAGAAAGCTGAGGTCACTCTCTGTGCCCCCCATACCCTCTCAACTCCCAGCACATGCCTCCTGATCCCGCTGCTGTGCTGCCCAGGGTCCTGCTGGTCACCACCTACACCTTGGGAACTCTGCTACTGGCAACTGCAGGGCACTGAGTAGAATCATAATCCAGTCGAGTTGCCTTGCCTCCTGCCAGCTACCAACTTGTGACAGTCAGGCTCCTGGAGAGGAGAGAGAGCATGCTGGCATCTGGGTGTCACCTACGCACAGTGAGTGACCTTCCCACAGGCCAGGCTCCTCCCACTCTGGCAGGTGGCCCTGAGAATGTCTCAGGCTGAGGGCTGGCGGTCACTAAGCATGCTCACCCACCACACCAGCCCTTCCTCCCCCAGGAAGGCCCCTCCCCCATAAACAGAGCAGCAGTTTATCTTGTTACCGAACTGTCTTGATTTTGCCTGATGGTCTACCGAGCCTAAAAAATGTCCTATTTCACCTTTTTCAAGAGAAGTTTGTGGTCTACACATTAAAGGTGGAGCCACTTGCACTTTGCAGAATGTGCCTGAGCTGGGACCCTCCACCACTGTCAGTGCCCAAAATGACTCTTATTCATCATTCAGGGACCCGGCTTAGGTTGTTTTCAGAGAGAAGTGCCTTTTACTTCCTAGTGTTGGTGAGAGGTCCTTTCCTCTGACCCCAGAAAGTCCTCGCCATCCTAACACTTTGGGCTTGCTTGTGGATTACGGTACTTCCTTCTCTTCTCTCCCTCTCTGGAACGGCCCTCATACGTCCATGCACATCGGACTCACCTGAGGACCCCCTATGACACAGATTGCTCCTCCCACCCCAGTTTCTGAACCACTAGGTCTGATTTGGGGCCCAATCATTTGCCTTTCTAGAAGGCCCTGTGTGCTGCTGCTTCTCGAGATCTCACTTCAGTGTTGAGATGGAAGAGACATTTCTAACAGCCCCTTCTCTAGGAGCTCTCTTCTCATTCCTTTTTCCTATATCTCAGCCCCCTTTTTGTTAAATCGGTAATTCTCATACTTTTTTGTCTCAGGACTTTACACTCTTGAAAATTATTGAGAATCCCAGAGGGAAATTTTTTTGTTTGTTTTTTTAAATATTTTTAATGATTTTAGACAGAAAGAGAGAAGAAGGGAGAGAGAGAAAGAAACAACAATCGACTTCCTTCTACACACCAACTACTGGGAATTGAGCCCGAAACCCAGGCAGGTGCCCTGACCGGGAATCGAACCAGTGATCTCTCAGTGCATGGGATGACGATCAACTGAGCCACACTGGCCAAGGCCCAGACGGGGGTTTTTAAAATGTGGATTATAGCTATCAATAATTACTATATTAGAAATTAAAACTGAGAACATTGAAAAAATGTGTATTAATTCATTTGCAAAAATCATAAGCCTACAAGATAATAAAATACTGTAATTTTTATGAAAAATAACTTTTCCTAAAACAACCAGTGTGAGAAGAGTGGCATTGTTTTGCTTTTTTTGGACAAATCTCTTTAATATTTGGTTTGATAGAAGACACCTGTATTCTATCTACTTCTGCATTCAGTTTGTTGTTCTGGTTGAAATACGTAAAGAAAATATGGTTTCACATGTATATGAAGTTGAAAAAGGGAGGAGTATTTTATACCCTTTTCAAATATTGTGAATATTTTTCTTTGATATACACCAAAACAGGACAACTGGGAGTGCTTTAAATGTTAGTTGGAATCTGAAATGGTCTGTGTGTTTTCCATACTCTAAATTAAAATTCATTACACTGAAATCCATTGGCCTGTTTGGAATGGATCCCTGTACCCATGCATTTGCTAACATCATACACTTGTCCTACAGAAAATACTGGTTGACAGAGTTCTGCAGACATTCCAAACGTTGATATATTTCATTATTTTTTAATTCCTTTTACTAAGTCATGTAATCAAGAGTAAAAATTTGATAAAAATGAATAATTCTTACTGCTTTAGTTTCTTTACTGAAACTAGTTTTTTCATTCTTTAAAATGCTTGTGTGTGGCGGTAAAGGATACCATGACTGCTGGTCCGGTCTGGGCCACTGCCCACTCCTGCCTCTCCTCGTGCTAAGGCGCCTGCAGTTTTCTACACCTTTGTTTGTGAACCATCAGGGCAATTTTCAGTACAGTGTACAAAGCCAATGACATTTTAATATTATAATGAAAGTAGTTTTGACCTTATGGACTTCCTAAAAAACTCTCAGGGCTTCCTAAGCATCTATAGACTATAACTGGAGAACGGTTGGTTTATGTCTTAATGCTGTAAATAATTTAGCCATTTTGTTTGTATGTTTATATTTTGTCTACCTCCTGAATTGATGGAGTAATAGTATTTAATTTCCACAGAGTATATGTTCTGTGTCCGGAATAAGCTTTTCACATGGATTGTCACTGTATCCTCACAGCAACCCTGGCAAATTACACCCATTCTACAGATGAGGAGCTTAAGGCACAGAAATACACAATCAGATCCGTGTCACGCTACTAGCCCCGGAAGGTGGTTTGAGACCAAAGAACAAATTCCAGCCCCTGACTTTAGCCTGGAGTTCTGTAGGCAGAGGAGAGCCATTGATAGTTCTGGGCAGGTGACTGGCATGCACCAACCACAGTAGCTAAGATCTAAATGTATACTCAGCAGAGCACACACATGAAACAACCCTGGATGCAAATTTAGGGTAAAGAATCCTCACTAGGAGTATGGGGTTGTACATAATTTCCTAAGTGGCATGTTTCCCCACAGTTTTTTGTCATGGAATCGAAGAGAATGTCAGACATGACAAAGCTCCATCAAGCTGTGGCTGCAGGGCACTATACTCTAGTGAGAAAGATTTTGAAGAAAGGTCTCTGTGACCCAAACTACAAGGATGTGGACTGGAATGACCGAACCCCACTTCACTGGGCTGCAATCAAAGGTGAGTGGGCAATGCCAAACATAGTCCATCCCCTGCAGTCTATTGTACCAATCAGCATCTGTGAGGGGTAGCCAGAAGAACATTCTTTTTTTTTTTAATTCTCAACCAAGGATATAATTTTTTATTTGTTTTATTGGTTTATTTTTAGAGAGGGAGGAAGGGAGAAAGAGAGAAAAAGAGAGAGAGAGACATCAATGCCTGATGGAACATTTCAATCTGAGCACCACCACTTACTAGTTGTAGCACCTTGACAAGTTATTTAATGTCTCTAAGCCTTAGTTTATTCATCTACATAATGGG